GTCTTCAGCCCCCTCAAAGTCTGTTGGGATATGGCTGTGTCTCACTGGATTCTCTCCCCAGAGAGGTTTACCTGGCACCTTCATTACATATATTTAAGAACCAGACAAAAACATTCCTCTTCTCACAGGTCTTTGGCTAATGCAACAATCTATGGCCTTTTAAACTGGTGTGTGTGTGTGTGTGTGTGTGTGTATTGTTTCTGTTTGTTTCTATGGGAAATGATATACAATAAATTGAAAAGGATGTTCAAAATAACTTTTATTAAAAAAAAAAAGAACCAGAAGCTTTTCTTTTGGGAATTATAGGGATAGAACTACCTAAATTGTATAAAAATTTATTTATGTATGCGACTACAGCAGCAAGAATGTTACTTGTCCCAAAGTGGAAAGAAGCAGAAGTCCCAGTAAAGGAAGAATGGACACAAAAACTTATGGAATATGCAGAAATGGCGAAACTTACCAGAAGAAGAAGAAATCAAGATAGCAAACTTTTTATAAAAGAATGGAAATGGTTTATTGAATATTTACAGATAAATTGAAAACAGATAAAGACATTAGCAGGGTCATTGTAATAGCCTACAGTTTCAGGAGAGTATATATTTAAAATAGATAATTAAATAAGCAAATTAAATGAATTTGTATACGCAGAATATATTTTTAAAAAATAAATTTAAGGAACCAAAGAAAGAGGGGGAAGGAAGTCAAATTTTGAAATGTTAAATTGACTTTAAAACTAATGAAATGTATACATTTGAAAAGTATCTGTTTGTTTCTGTTTGTTTCTATGGTATTTTATGTATGTTTTTATATTGCAAACCACCCTGTGATCTTTGAATGAAAGGTAGTATAGAAATGTATTATTATTGCTGTTGCTGTTGTTATAAAACAGGGTGTCAGAGATTTAGAGGATAAATTCTACACAGAATAATGACTAAGCCAGTAGTGTACACAGAATCTGTTATAAAAAAAGAAGTGAAACCTCTTTTATATTCACACATATTTGACATGGGTACCTTCATGTGTCAGCAGTATATAAAGGGTGGTGTATGACATTGATCTTGGGTTCTAAGTGCACCATCCTCACAGTGGATTTTACTGACTGAGGTTAAAATAGAAAAATATTCCCACATGGAGTTGTTATTTATTGTAATTTAATGTAGTGATGAAGAACCTGGGTGAAAAACTTCCTGAATATATATATTTACACTAGGATTAACTGACTGTAATCTTACCTAACTGTACTCAGGACAGGAAATAACCATGGCAAGTAGCAACAATCTTCATTTGATGTTGCATTAATCATATTCAGCAGTATTAGGGAAAGCTATAACTCATCTTGAGAAATTAATGCCTGGACTGTTTTGGATTCCCGTTCATTTTCAGCGCTGGTTAAATGGCAGATTTCGCAGTTAAGGGCCTAACTACATATTACATGAAAATGTGGGTAACATTAAATCCCAAAGACCTTAAAAACAGCTACACACACAGTGTTGGCAAAGGGATTTCCCCACTTTTTTTATATCTGCTGTAGCAGTAGTAATTCAGTGGAGAGAAAGGAACCGCCTGAGTCTTTTCCCAAATGCTTTTACAAATCATCCTCACCCAAATGGCTTTTTTCCTGGGTAGGGAGACAAGGTTCCAGATGTGGGCAACAGGTCACTTTTTGAATGTTTTTGGACAGCCAGCATGGCCAATGGCCAGGAACGGCGGCAGCTGTAGTTCAGCAACTTCTTCTTTGGTGATCCCTCATAGCTGAGTATGATTGTCTTCCATAAACACAATTTTAACAGTGAGTCCTAAGTGACTGTGGAGGCCAATTCTGTATCCACACGTCCTTCCACAGTGGGGACCTTCATTACTGGGCGGGAGTTGATCATGGTGTGGATTTGCAAGTGTACCTTCCTCTTAGCAAGTTTCTCCCTTTCATCCTGAGTTTGAGCATCTTCAAAGCGTATGACACCTTTGGTGTAGGCTGTTCTCCGATTGGAGCGCTCCCAGGAAACTGTGGCGCTGTGGGTTAAACCACAGAGCCTAGGACTTGCCGATCAGAAGGTTGGTGGTTCGAATCCCCATGACAGGGTGAGCTCCCGTTGCTCAGTCCCTGCTCCTGCCCACCTAGCAGTTTGAAAGCACATCAAAGTGCAAGTAGATAAATAGGTACCACTCCGGCAGGAAGGTAAATGGTGTTTCCGTCCACTGCTCTGGTGCACCAGTCATGCTGGCCACATGACCCGGAAGCTGTACGCCGGCTCCCTCGGCCAATAAAGCGAGATGAGCACCACAACCCCAGAGTCGGTCACGACTGGACCTAATGGTCAGGGGTCCCTTTACCTTTACCTTTATACTACATTTTTAAAAATTTGACCTGAGAGAGTCTTTAAACCTCTTTTGTTGACAACCAGCATTATGCTTTCCATTTTTAAGTTCGGAATAGAGTAGTTGCTTTGGAAGACGATCATCAGGCATCCTCACAACATGACCAGTCCAACAAAGTTGATGTTGAAGAATCATCACTTCGACACTGGTGATCTTTGCTTCTTCCAGTACATTGCCATTAGTTTGCCTGTCTTCCCAAGTGATGTGTAATTTTTTTCAGAGACACCATTGATGGAATCTTTCGAGGAGTTGGAGATGGCATTTTTAAGTGGTCCATGTTTCACAAGCATACAGTAAGGTTGGTAGTGCAATAGCTTTGGAAACAAGATATTGGTTTCCCTGCAAATGTCCCGGTCCTCACAGCTACTTCTGGGCCCTTACATGATGGGCTCTGTATTCCCAAGATGTTTAAGAACCTTATTATATTTAAAATATATACCCTGCTTCCCCCCACCACAAAGACTTAAAGTAGCTCGGAAATAAAAAGCAAACACCAAAGCAATGATGATGCACCCATTAAAAATGAAAAAAAAAACAAAACAAAACAATCAGGAGCAAAACGCACCCCTCCCCACAAAAATCATATCCAGCATATCCCTCATGTAATATTCCTCCAACTTTGCAAGCTCTTCGCTGCTCTTCAGCATTCTAATATGCCCTGACTTACAGCCAAGAACTCTTTGTTGGTATAAGCCTTTTAACATTTGCAACACCTCTTAGAAAGGTTCCCTCCTGCTGTTCTCTATTTTACAAAAAAGGTCCCCAGAAGTTTCCTTTTGGTATTAAACCTTTTTTTGTTGCTGTTTTTTGACTCATAAGGCAGATCTACCATTCAAGAGGTCACAAGGAGTGTGTGCTCAGTGTGTGTGGTTCATGTTAAATGCATTTACATCCCAAGAAGAAATCCATTTTAAAACATATTCATTGGCTATATAATATATTCCTGCTTCCTTTCTCAGTCTCAGGATTTTCCAGCATGCTCTTGATTATTTTATTTTATTTTTGGCTTGAATATGCCTCATTATGGCATTCCATTTGTGCTCATTTTTGCTCTCATTTCCTGAGCTTTTTGGGCTGCCACTAAAGGATGATTTATTCTTACTTTCCATTTTCTTACTTGACTATGGATGACCACATACTATTTATTTATGGGGACATGCACAGACCATCTTTCAGTCTGTAAGAAGCACCAAGTGCTTTACAACAATTTAAAATGTTACGGTTAAAAAACCAGCACAAAATGGGTGCAAGATTTAAATAGATAAAAACTTGGTGGAACAAAAACAGCTTAGCTGTCCACCTCAAAGACATTGCAGAAGAGACCAATCTAACTTGCCTTGGCAATAAGTTTGGTGCCAACACCAAATAAGGCCCTGTCTTACTTCCCTGTCAGAAGCACCTAATTTCAGGGATAGAATGCAGAGCAGGGTCTCTGAAGATGTCCCAAAATGATGGGCAGGTTCATGAAGGTGAAAGTAGTATTTAAAATAATCAGATCCTAAGCACCTCAAATTCAGTTCACAGACAAATTGGAAACCATACCAGGTCTGTCATACCCTTTCCCAGGCTCTATACAGAGTACACTATAAATTTAAGGCACCCACACAAAAACCAAACCCACATGGGAACTGTAATTTACCCATCACAGAACTGTAATTCCTAGCACCCTTAGCAAACTACAGTTCCTATTATGCTTTGGTGGAAAAATGTGCTGTGAATGTGCTTAAAGTCTTGCTTCCATTGAAATCATGCCAAAATCCCAGAGCAGAATCTCTTGGTTTCAATTGCAAGAGGAATCTGGCAGGAAATGTGTGATTCTGGTAAAGTGTAATAGCATCCTGAAAAAGCTGGTTTACTAGCTAGAGTCCAAACATGTCCAATGAATTTAACCAAAACCTAGAGCAGTATGATTTTGGTCTGGGCATCATCGATTGAGCCTGCCTCTTCTGATGTTATACTAACTATGGTAACTAACCCTGATGGCTATCGGGGGTGCTGGATTATACATTTTAAAGGAAACTGACCAAATTTGCACTTCCTGTAGACTGGAATGCAGTGATTTGGTTTGCCTTCAAACTTCTCCCCCACACCCAATTCTCAGCTAAAAAAAGAAGTACCATGGGAGAAGTACCAAATGTACCCCCAAAAAAGTACCAAAATGTATATTTTAGAAGGAAATTCACAGAGAAAATATAGGTTCATGGATTTTTTAGTTGGAAGGCACTATAAAGGTAAAGGGACCCCTGACCATTAGGTCCAGTCGTGACTGACTCTGGGGTTGTGGCGCTCATCTCGCTTTATTGGCCGAGGGAGCCGGCATACAGCTTCTGGGTCATGTGGCCAGCATGACTAAGCCACTTCTGGTGAACCAGAGCAGCACATGGAAACACTGTTTACCTTCCCGCCGGAGTGGTACCTATTTATCTACTTGCATTTTGATATGCTTTTGAACTGCTAGGTTGGCAGGAGCAGGGACCGAGCAACAGGAGCTCACCCCATCACGGGGATTCGAACCGCTGACCTTCTGATCAGCAAGTCCTAGGCTCTGTGGTTTAACCCACAGCGCCACCCGCGTCCCTATGGAAGGGACTATGAGGGTCATCTAATCCACCCCCTGCATTGCAAGGATCTTGTGGGGTTTGAACCCACAGCCCTGACATTAAGATTATTGTGCTCTACCAACTGAGCTGTCCTATATCCTATTTATATACCTATTTCATGGTGGGGGGATACATTTAAAATAATGCGCACACACAGCGCGCGCACACATAGATATGGGAGTGGGATGGAACAGATTTATGAATGGACTCATTTGAAATGGACACAAACCAGAAATAGACGGATCCATCCATCCTAACTTGGAATTGATTAGCATTTGGCAGCCTGTCTTCCTCAATGGAAAATCTTACCTAATTTGGTGATTATTTCTGCTTATTGAGGATCCTTTGGGATATTGTACCCTTAGGCTACAACCTCACAGAGACCATACACTAGATTGTGGCTCCAATATACAATAGAAGACAGTTTAAGTTTATTAACATGCTGAAAGAAGCATATATGAGGTAGCCATAAAAAGGAAACCAACATATTTTACAGGTATTTCCCCCCCTCCACATTTCTGTTTACTATTCTTAACCTTCCCAGTATAAAAACCAAGGGATAAATCCTTTGGCTTAATCTTGGCTTTGGATTTTTATTTTTATTTTTTTAAAAAATGTCTTCTATCCTCTGCAGTTTTAGTACCTAGGAAATGAAAGTTCAACATATTGTAAATTGGGATAAAATTGTTGTCCAAAGATGACAGGCTAGAAATGGGGAGAAACAGTGATAGATGGTGATAATGTTTGTTTAAAAATTGCATGTAGAACTCTTGGAGGAGAAGAGCTACAGAAAATTATAAGCAGACTCTATTCCTGCCAAGCTAACAACTCACTTCATCCTATTGCCCTTGAATGCTGAGACTATAACGAAACAATTCACACATTTTTCAGAACCACACTAGAGCTGGGGCAGAATCGATCAGATATGGGTCTCAAGAGAACTATCCACAAGAACAACGAAATGCAAAATACAACCCAGAACCCTTTCTGATCACAACCCAATTGTTTTGGAAATAAAATGTAAATCATCTGGGCCATATAGGTGGAGAATGAATGAATACTTATTTGAAAATGATGAGATGATTGAGAAGGCTAAAAGTACCCTGAAAGATTACTTCGATTTAAATTTAAATAAAGAAACAAAAATTTATATAGTTTGGGATGCCAGCAAGGCGGTTTTAAGAGGATTCTTAATTCAACAAAATAATTATAGAAAGAAACTAAGAGAACTAAAGAAAGAAGAAATTATTAATCAATTAAGAGATTGTGAGAAAAAATTAATAATAAACCCCAGGGATGAAAGGACTAAACAAATCTCTAAAATATTGCAAACACAATATTCAACATTAATAAGTCAAGAAGTAGAATGGAGAATCAAATCAATGAAGCAAAAATATTTTGAATCCGCAAATAAAACAGGGAGACTACTAGCGTGGCAACTAAGAAAAAGGAAAAAAACAAAATGTGATCAACAAAATAAAAACAGAAGAGCAAATATTAGAAGATCCCAATGAAATAAAGGAAAAGTTCCTTCAATTCTATGAAAACCTGTATAAAAAGGAAGATGAGGACATAGTAGAAATAGAAAAATATCTGGAAAGAAACGGAGGAGAACACTTGATGGATGAAGAAAAAACCCAATTAAACAAATTAATAACAGCAGATGAGATCAAGGAGGCAATTAAGAAGATGAAACCGGGGAAAGCACCAGGTCCAGACGGTCTGTCATCAAAATACTACAAAGTTTTAGAGGAGTATCTGGCCCCGGTAATATGTGATGTAATGAATAATATTCTACGAGGAGGGTGGATACCTGATTCCTGGAAAGAGGCACACATCACGTTAATACCTAAATTAGACTCTAACAAATTGGACATAAGAAATTATAGACCGATATCACTACTTAATAACGACTACAAAATCTTCACAGAAATAATGGTGAACAGACTTAAGAAATACTTAATAAAATCTATCCATAAAGATCAAGCCGGATTCCTCCCTAACAGGCAATTAAAAGACAACGTAAGGCACATAATAAATATTATTGAATATTTGGAATTCAAGAATGATATCCCCGCGGCATTAATTTTCATTGAAGCCGAAAAGGCTTTTGACAATGTATCCTGGCGGTTTTTATTGAAATGTATGGAGAGGGTAGGGATAGAGGGCCCTTTCATGGAAGGAATAAAAGCGATCTATTCAAGCCAAAGGGCTAAACTAATTATTAACAATAATTTAACTAATTCGTTTGTGATTTCGAAGGGTACAAGACAGGGGTGCCCTCCGTCCCCTCTTTTATTTATTATGGTGCTGGAAGTAATTACAAATAAAATAAGGAAAACATCAGAAATAAGAGGAATCAGAATTGGAGCAAATGAGTATAAACTAAAGGCCTACGCCGATGACTTGGTAATATCGTTAGAAGATCCAGTAAAAGGTATCGGTAAAGTCTTAGAGCTATTAGAAGAATTTGGAAAACTGTCCGGTTTTAAGCTAAATAAAGTTAAAACTAAGATGTTGACAAAGAATTTGGCCGAAGACTTAAGAAGCCAGTTAGAGTTGCAAACAGGAATCAAGGTGGTGAAAAAGGTGGAATATCTGGGTATTTGGGTCTCCATGAAAAACATAAACTTAGTAGAAGATAACTATATTAGGACCTGGAGAGAGATTAAAAAAGACTTAGATACCTGGAGTAGGATAAAACTTTCCTGGTCAGGAAGAATGGCCGCAATTAAGATGAGTATTCTTCCAAGACTGCTGTTTTTATTTCAGAATATCCCGGTGATCAGAGGTACGACAATGTTTAAAGATTGGCAGAAAACCCTTTCCAGATTTATTTGGCAGGGCAAAAGAGCAGGAATTAAATTTAAACTTCTTACAGATCGAAGAGATAGAGGAGGGTTTGCTGTCCCGAACTTGAAACTATACTATGAGGCATCGTGCTTGTGTTGGATCAAAGAATGGATTGTCTTGAAAAACACAGATTTGTTAGATTTAGAGGGATTTAACACCAGATTCGGTTGGCATGCATATCTGTGGCACAATAAAGAGAGGGTACACAAAGGCTTCTCTAACCATATCATCAGAGGAGCGTTGCTTGAGGTATGGGATAGAAATAAAAGACTTATAGAAAAACACACTCCCTGGTGGCTATCACCAATTGATATTCTAACAATCAAAAAATTAAACATGGATAGTGAAAGATGGACCTATGAAGACCTCCTGGTAGGATCAGATAAAGGATGGAAAATCAGAACATATGAAGTTTTAAAGGATAAATTAACGGGTTGGCTACAATTTCACCAAATTAATGCCTTATGGAACGAAGATAAAAAAAAACAGGGATGAATGAGAAAAAGTCCAGATACCAGGTGGAAATACTAGAAGGTAATTCCAAACTCTTATCCAAAATGTATAACCAATTACTAGATTGGGATACTAAGGATGAAGAGATAAAGGAAGTTATGGTCAAATGGGCTATAGATCTTGGATACAACCTAGAATATGATAGGTGGGTGAAACTTTGGAACAAGGATATGGAGTTCACAGCATGTGTTGGACTCCGAGAAAATATGGAAAAAATGATGTACCGATGGTACATCACCCCTGTGAAATTGGAAAAAATGTATAAGACCGGAGACAAAACATGCTGGAAATGCAAAACAAAAGAGGGTGATTTCCCCCATATGTGGTGGACTTGTGAAGAAGTGAAAAGGTTTTGGGGACTTATTTATGATGAATTAAAAAATTTTTTGAAATATACTTTCCCCCCAAAACCCGAAGCCTTCCTCCTGGGAATGGTCGGAGAGGAGATCAAGAAAGAAGACCAAACAATGTTCCAATACGCAACGGTAGCCGCCAGGATATTGCTAGCTCAAAATTGGAAAGCCCCTAATATCCCAACTGTTAGAGAATGGCAAATTAAATTATTCGAGTATATAGAATTAGCAAAGATGAGACAAAAAATCAGGCATCAAAAAAGTGAAAAATTTATTAACAATTGGAACAAATTCATAACATACATAGAAGCAAATTTAGGAAATATTAAAAGCACAGTAGGTGTAACATAAACCCTGCGATGTATAGATGTTGTAAAATGACACTGCAGAAAGGTATTGTGGTTACATAGCCCAAAACCGAGATGGAGGGAAGTCAATCAATGTTATGTTATGAATTGATGTTGGTTTGTTTTCCGTTTGTTTTCTTTTTGTATGTGTTGCTTTGTCTTTTTTCTTTTTTTCTTTTTGTTCGTTTGTATGTTTTTGTTCCTTCACTTTTTATGTTTTTGTCTTAAAAAAGAACTCAATAAAAAGAAATTAAAAAAAAAGAATGCTGAGACTATTAACTCGAAAGCAAGACCATCTCCTTCCATATCAACCTTCTATTGCTGTGCAGCAGGGGTAGCTTTTCGACTCCAATTCCCATCAGACCCAGCCTGCAGGACCAGTGTCCAGGATGATGGCAGTTGTATTATCATGGAATGGCAGAGGTGGAAGGCCCCAGCTGGGGAACCCCCAAGGGAAGCAGGCTCAGAGCCAGGGGACTGGTGATGGAACGATGATGAGTGGTCAGAGGGAGAACAAGGGAGTGTCAGGGGTCTTTCTGAGGAGGGCTGCACTGAGGAGAAATGGTGGGAGCCTCCCCCTCCACTTCCTCCTGATCAGGATCCTGAATCTTCCCAGGAGCAAGAGGACAGTATAGATTTGGAATAGTGGTTTGCAGAGGGACATAGTTCAGAAGGCAGAAGCTGGGAAGTACTGGATGGGGAACAGCTAAGAGGAGGAGAACTGGGAGAGAGAGAGTTAACAGGCTCACTGTCTCTGGAAAGCGTTCATCCGCTCAGCCCAAGGTCAAGAAGAGCAGCACAGAAAGCACAGTGGTTGCGAGATCAGTTTACAAGATGTGAGAGTGACGTGGGTGACTAGGGAGGAAGTGGGTGGAACCCTTAATTGGGAGCACCTTCATTCCTGGGAAATGGAGTCTTTGTTCCCTCGCTGTGATCATTAAAGTTCTAACTGGTAAGAAGACTCCTTTCCCTTTGTTCTGTTTATCTACTGACAAAGGGGGGAGAAAGGCGATCCCTGAAGCCTAAC